GGGGGGTAATTGCCCCTCAACCACTTGTGTGATATTGATTTGGGAATAGCACTCGAGTTTATTGATAATAAACTTTCCAAAATACCCTAAATTACATGTGAATACTTTCCCAAAATAAAATTTTAAAAAAATCTCTTATAGAAGTCCAACAAACATAACCTCTTCCTCTATGGGCATATTTAATAATCATATTTTAATCTTTCAATTTTTGCTAAATGAAATTTTTAAGTGATAATTATTAGACAATACATACATAAAGGTACATTCTTTACACCAAGTTTACATCTTAAAATAAAAGCAAAATCTTAATAGCAATGATAATTAGAGGAAGATGGAAATGAAGAGCATAGTTAGAGTTTGATATAAAGGTGAAAAATAAAAAGAATAATTGAATACTATTTTAAAGTGGAAATGAAATAGGGCTTGAATTATGATATTATTATTATTATTATTGGATTTGCTTGTGTGGAGAGGGTTAAAAATGGAGAAAAATAGTAAATATATAAATATAAATAAGACATATGGGAGTGCAAAAGACACGCTTTAAGCCAACATGACCATGGAAGCATTACATCTTTCATGAATAATGCCAATCATGGTAGATAATGTTATCTACCACTTCAAAGTTTGAAGATAAATTAGATAAAAGAAACAAGTTTAATACTTTTCATTATACAATTCCTCAAAAATAAATCACATAATTAAATCATGGAGAACACCAAGCCTCCATGCACTCGGCCTATCGAAGAAAGGAAAGGAGATTTAATTCAAAGCTCATTTTCACCAATATTTATACATGCATGGGACAATCACAACCAATTATTAACATTAATAAAATTATATCAATTAAATTTAAATTTGAAAAGATGAAAGGAAGGAGGGGCTATTCACTTCATCTTGGATTGGAAAACACCATAAAAACAATGAAATGGAGGCATGTCTTGGCTTTCATGCCAACTCTTACCTTAGATTTACATCATTACATAAAAATGCTAGTTACGTGTTTATGATGGTAATTCTCATTCACAACAGTAATGTCATGAAGTTGCCAACATAAATAAACTAATTTGCATTTTGCCTTTGAAGCTCGCCGTTTTTTATTCTTTTGCTTTTTGAACTATATATTTTCCTTTAGAGTACATTCCTTAAGTTGCCATATCAATAGGTTCCTTGCTAACAACTTCCTAGTCGCTCAATATCCAACCGCAAGAGTGCCCATCCATTTGTCAACACACTCCTCAACTATGCATGCTTAACTAATTTAGCATATTTTTTTCATTTTTAATTTTTCTCCCATTTCTCTATTTCTAATTAGATTATTTTATACTAGGGAGCTATTATATCTTATTATTTGCTATTTCTTTGAAACGTTTGCTAATGTTATTGTGTTTAGAGACTTTGTTCTCGATTTTATGCTCTGTGTGTTGTATACTCTTCCTTTTGCAAGTGAAGTATATGTATCTTGCTTAAGAACAGATGATGAATCCTCCTTGTGGCCCATACCTCATAGTTTTGTCATTTGACCGTTGTTTTTAATCTGAACAACCACCGAAATCACTGCTAACTGCGTTCCAACAGCCGGTTTCAGCCGCCGAGAACATCATACCCCATCCAAACATCTTCGACATCCCATATTTTCATTCACTTCTCATTCTAAAACTAATTTCTAGCAGAACTTGCTTCCTAAACACCTTCAAAGAGCACTAGAATGATGTCAAACACACTCTTAGTTATTTGGTGAGATGTGAAGAAAATGCGGAAACTTATTTGACTGCACCACACCAAGACATCTACTATGAATAAAATGAGGAGAATCATACAAATTACACCACTCAAGCCCCTCCACACTTTGAAACACTTCAGAATATTTTTTCTTTACTTTGTACAAGAGAAAACTCGAAATACAACACACATCTTGTTGATAAAGATGACACAATAAGTAAGATATGCTCAAAATCGGTTATGGGCACTGGGGCGCCCCAATATGACATTGTGCTGATCCTCTGTTTGAAACACTTCAGAATCGGTAAAGCATCATGTCATCAACATGTACATGACATTTTTGATAAGAGTTATCATGGATGCAGGCCTCCTTAATGTAGATGGTTGCACTGTTTGTAGAGACATCATAGATGTAACTAGAAGCAAAAACAACAATAATGACTTTATTAGCTAATAATTCAAGAGATCTAAGAAGATGTTGACAATTACATTGCTGGTGATAAGACTTCGCCATTTGATTCAAAGATTTGGCCAATCGTTGAAGTTGACCATAAGGATGAGTCAAAACTGATTTGTTAATGGCTGGCCTGGTAAGTGGTAAGGACCAAAGTAGATAGGCTAAGTATGATAACATCATTTGGGTTGAAGATCACACTGCTAGGACGAGTGGGGAAAATGAATATTGATATTTACCTTCTTACAAAATGGCAAAACCATGGGTTGGACAACAAGCAAGAAAAACAAAATATACTCATTTAATATGTACCTTCTTACAAAATGGCCATAATATATTGAATAAAATAAATATTAATAATTAATATTGATATTTATCTGAGTTTATATTTAACTTCCCAAACCAAATCATTTCTTATGTATGTAATGCCAAACCGTCTTCCAGATATCACCGACCATCAACACATGGTCTTTAGACAGTACCACTTAGCCATGACTAAAGTTGAAACTGTTTTATATAACTAAAACTAAATCAATTTGATGAGAATATTAAATTTCTTATCTTCAACATATTAACACAAACCAATGGAGCATAAACTAACAAAGAATGCGCAAGAAAAACATGCCAATTGGTATAATATAGATCAAAATAAACAAATTATAAAACTAAATCTAAATCCCATCAAGGAGAGTTTTTTTAGCAAATGTTCTATAGAAACAAATTATAAAACTAAATCTAACTGGGATGACAATGAAGGGATTGGGCGGTTGAAGCCGAAGAAGAAGCAAAAGAGGAAGAAGCTGGAACAAGTCGCGATTAGAGCTAACTGGGACGACAGGAAGGGGATTGCGAGTCGCGGCGGTCGCTTACGAGGCGCAACTGTAAAAAAGGGCAGAGAAAGTTCAAAAGGCTCCGCCATTAATGTATAGATAAGTTTGCAAGTATTTCTTGATATTTTATACATTTTTATGGATCAAATTGCACTTTAAAGAAAATTATTTTTGTGATTATCTTGCAGATACAACAAAAAGTTGAAGTGGAGAATTATCTTGAGGGATTGCTTCCTCCTTGGGTTGAAACCTTCAAGGGAGAGTTTTTCTTTACTTTGTGAGTTGTGAGAGTTTCGTATGAGAGAGAAAGTTGCTAACTTTGTTGGAGAAATAATTTATTGTAAGATTTTCATCTTTATGTTGCTTGCAATGGAATTTCATGTTGTGTTTTTTGCTATTTTTTTCTCCGTAATGAGCAACTAAGCTTTTACTCGTGTCTCTGTGATGTAGTGAGTAGTGGATTTATTATTGGTTTGTCGTAATGTTTTTCTGTTAATTATTTTCTTGAGCTTTTCATGACCGATGTTGTTGGTTAACCTCCGATCTACATTTACTCCTAGTCTGGCCAACTAGGAAGTTAAAATGTTTTAGGAAACTATGCTCTAACCGTTGTGTAGTGGAAACAAATGGTTAACCATAGAATTTCAAGAGGATAGACATATTTTAATGAAATTATGTAATTATCCCAGGGAGATTAGAAAAGTCATGCAGAATGCCATGGGGCTTGCGGAAGCTTCAAATTCATGAATTATAGGTTTTTTTTTACCTAAACATAGACATAAGGAGTACCTTGTTCCCGATGAGAACAATCACATAGGAAACCATTTAGGAAAACCATAGTCGCCACGATCTCCGAATCACAGAGGCACGAGCCTCACCTATCTTGAATAAACTTAGAAATTTTTCCCCCTGTTATCTATTTTCAGAATTATGTTTTGTTAGGACCTTGGGATTTAAAAATCTTCTTTAATCAACAAGCTAGGTTAACTAAATTAGTAAATTAGAGCTTTCTCTATTGAAGTAAATATTATACTTTCACTGTGGAATCGATACACAGTACTCTTGAACCATATTACTACTTGACACTGCACTTGCGTGTACCACCGACTTACGTCCCGAAAAGTTTTGGCACGTCAGGGGCTTCATGTATAGCTGAAAAACAGGCCACCTCGTCAAGCCAAGGGAGTTTCCATAGCCGAAGATGTCATTGTCGAAGCTGTCGCAAGCACCAACGAGTGTCACCTCCATCCAGTCGGCTGACCATACCGGTCGGCCAACCCTACTTGTTGGCCACCTGAGTTGGCCATTACTTGTTGGTCAACCATCCGGGTTGATTATGGAGTTTATAACTAACCAACCACTTGGGTTGATCACTCACTGCCGACTATCCTGGCCGACAACCACTTATCGGCTAGCCAGCCATTCGGGATGACCATAGAGTTTATAGCAGACCGACAACTTGGTCCGGTCACTCACTGTCGGCCATCCTGACCGGCAACCACTTGCCACCCGACCACTTAGGCCGACCAAATGGAGATCAACAAACAGGGCACTTGGGCCGGTCATGGAGTTCACAGCCAACAGACCACTTGGGTTTGCCATCCCCTGCCGGCCGACCACCTGACGCCGACGACGTACAGGTAAAACTCTAGGAGGACCAGCTCGAACAGAAAAAAGATCAAAATACCCTTCACTGCTCCTCCTTAAGCAGGGGCATAAATGTAATATTCCTTTCCCCTCTTTCTCTATCTATAGATAGGGGACCCCTTGTATGTAAAAAAGGTCCTTTAGGCTCTTTCTATCTCTCTCTCCCTTGCTCCCCTTCTCCCTCACTTGTAACCGAACTTGTGTGGAATAATAGGGGCCGCCGAGCCCGGAGACCACCCCTCTTTGACAGGGCAATCCTCATTCTATTTCTCTCACTCTCTTTCTCTTTCCCCTGGAATCAAGTTCTATTCCTTGTGCATGGTCCAAATAATAGATTTGAATTCAACAATAAATGTTTCTATTGATTTTTCTTACAAAGAAATACGAGCAACAAACATTTATGTTAACTGAAAAGCTTTCAAATATTTGCATATCTAAAATTCAAATTGTCATCTCCATCTATTGATATTTTTTTAAGAAAGTTAAGCATCTAAATGTAATTTTTTTATAAGCGAGAATCCATGGGAGACTTTGGGTAATAAATATCGGAATATTTCTATGCTAATAAATAGAGTAAATTGTGTTTATAAATTTCCCAAACGACACTAAACAGCAATTAGTCGTGGCAGCATAAAATGCGAGGAGGTGAGGAGGAGAGCAGCAAATGATTTATAAAAAGAGGAGGACGCACACGAGGCCTCACAGTTCACCGAATCCAAGGCATAAACAGCTAAAATTAACAACTTCAATCGGAGGAAGCGTCAACCATCCTTGGGATTCTTTCCAGACGATGATCGCAGCTGATTCTTTCTAGAGTTGAATCGCGTTCGCATTCCCCATTCTACGCTGAGAGCCGGCGAAGGCGAGCCATGGTCGACCACGCCGTCAGATCTGAGATCTCGTTCCCTGGAAGGTTCGCGATTAGTGCGATCGCCGCCTGTTTCGCAGAGGTTAGTAGTTCAACCATTTTGGCGATCCTTCACTCAGTTCCCTGAATCATCCCGGTTGCCATTATTCTGTTCTGATAAATTAAAGACACATTATTAAAGCTTAACCTACCCCATGGCATGGCTAATGAAGCTCGTGCATACTGTAATTGACTAGTGTTCATGAAAGATTTTATTGGTTTTGTTCTCTCTATTTTGATAATATGGATGGCCGTTGTTGTTGTAATTTTGCCCATTTAAACTAGCATTGCCTTTTTAGTCCTCTTACTAAAAATATAAGCATTCATTTCAAAACTATAAACAATCGTCTCCTATTTTAGGGACGCTGATGCGCGTGCCACTGAAATCAACTGATCCAAATTTATTGGTTGTAGAATGTGCTACAAAATTTATATTCAGGTATTTTAGTTGCAATTTTCAGTTAGTCTTCACTACAAACTTGTTACTCAACTTAAATTAAGGGTTTATTTTCTCAAGGTTCAGAAAATTGGACCAGACATTGAACAGGTAGAGGAGGAGGCTCAAGATTTCACGATTGAACTGGGGGTTGAACCAGATGATGTAATAAATATAAAAAATATTAAACATAACTTTATTGACATAAAAATTAGATGAAATTCAGTATGGAAGGTCAACAAGAGAGAAACATAACAAAAAAATGTAAAGAAACATAACAAAACATAACAAAAAAATGTAAAAAAGCAAAAAAAAAGAAATATAATAGAATAATAGTCATTCATATTTTTTAAAAGGTAAACAAGAAAATGAAACTATAAATGATTAGAGCAATATATATTATTCATAATATCAAAAGATTCAAGTCATTTTTCATGATTTCTAAAAGGAATGCGGCATAAGATTAAAAATTACACTTTAACTAGTTGATCGGTGCGACCACCGATTCCAACTAGCTCTTTCTGATTCAATGCAGAGCCATTTTTCAGTCCAACTAGAACAAGACCATCGATTGGTTCACGATCGAATAGGTCGGTTCAGTCTGGTTTTCAAAATGTTGATTTTTCTACAAGCTTGATATGGGCGCCTAGGCACCCAAAACACTTGCACCGGGACTCAAGCAAGTAGAAATTAGGCACCAACCGCCAACGTTCAGGCGATAAAAACCAATGCTTAGGCTCTAGGAATTAGTGCCTAAGTACCACATACTAGCACATAGGCGTCAGTTCACATGTTTTGATGGTTTGGGCAGTTCACAAGCATCGATTTATGCTGGAAAGCATAAAAACCTCTGCCAAATGCAAAACGAGCAATTCAGGGGGATTCTAGAGAAGAAGAGAGTAGAGGGGCTTACAAACAGACAACACGGAGAATGAGAATACTCAGGGGGAACAATCAGAGCATTTCAAAGGAGGAATCCTGAGAAGTATTGTGAGTGTGAGCGAGTGTTCTCATGAGGGAGAACAAGTGCAAGCCTAAGTGTGACTGTGTATTAATTTTTGTACTCATAACTTTGTAAAAACTCAAGGATTTTGTTGTAATTTCATGGGAATCAGTGGAGAACATTGGTGGGATCATTCTAACTTCGTTAAACATTGATTTTGCAATGAATTTTTTTTGCTTCATCTTTAATGAATAAGACTTAAACAGTTCTCTCTCTTGAATTGGATTTTATGCAAGTTGGTGAAATCTTTGTTATATGATTGTGTATAATTTGATTGTAAGTTGATAGTTTAACATTTTGAATTTAATTTACTCATAAACTGATCACTAAAGAAGCTAAAATGGGTAGTGATTTAGTACTATGGGAGTAGGCTAGTGAAACAATTAAGTTAAGTTACACTGCTCTATGATAGTAGGAATATTGTTATTAGGGCAATGTAATCGTGAAATAAAATTTATAAATACTGGAGTTTTTGTAAGGTTAGGTGACTAACTGTAATATGAATCCAATTTTCTTATGACCACCGGGAGGGATTAAGGAAAATTGTTTTTCCTGATTGTCAACTTTATTAATCATTTAAACTGATCTGGTTTGCATAAGATCGATTCAAGGATATTTTCTTTTACTTGTTCTAACTCAAAACTATTTCTAGGTTTTAATTTTTGCAAAATGAAATCATCAAATTGCAAATCTTCATACTAGACTCAAAACCAGTACACTAAAGCTTTTCTAGACTATGGTAGTTCATTCATTAATTATGGAAACGATACATGTATTAAATTTTGTATACTACGTAGTCAACGTATATATTTGTGTGTATTTCCGGTGCTTCATAGCATTTCGGCCGTATCAGTAACTGATGAAGAGTATTAGAACCGATGGCATTTGATGTAGACAGGGCAAGTAGCATTGGATATCAATTGATGATTAATGTTCGATAATGATGGATGTCATAATAGAATGATGGATATTGGGCAGTGGAAAGTGTTAAGCAATGGTAGGCATTGGGCAATAGTAGGTGATGGTGATGATGGGTGTTAGACATTGACAAATATTCTTTATCGTGATGCTAAATATTTCAAACTACAATTATCTGATCAGTGAACATAAAGAAAAAAATTGATATTTTATCAGCATTATGAATTTTGAACGATGGAGAAAATTAGGTAGTAATGGGCGTTGGTTGACGATGGGCAATGAGTATTAGAGATTGCCAGTCATTGAAGTACATGCATTGATCAACGATATGTCTTGGCAATTAATGCTGAAATAAACTTTAAAAATGATAGATTTTTGGTGACTAGGGGTGTTTATGTAGTGATGAGCATTGAAGATGGTGAATTTTAAAGGATGGTCGGCATAGTTCAGCTGTAAAGAAGGAGAAACGAGGGAGGGAAAATCATCATATAAATGAAGTCTACTGGGAGTGCACCACTTCTGAAAAGAAGGGACATTGAGTGGCCTAGAGTTAACAAATAAGGTTATATGATGAAACCACAATTATGATCAATTGGTTTGGTTCTTAAACGTGAATTAATCCAAACATTTTTATGTTTTGTTGGAATCATTGTCGCAAGGCAATCATTGTGTGTAAATATGCAAAAGTTAATGCTCCCTTAAATAAGCATTAACAATTATTGGATCATCTTTTGAGTGCTTTGAGGTTCAATATTTAACTTCAAAAATCATTCTTAATTGATGGGGCTTGAATGATGACACTCATTCATACTTCAAATTATTATTCATTATTTGGCTAGCACTCATGAAAAATTTTGTGAGCTTTGTTATAATTTATTTTGAAAATATAAATTTTTGTAGTTTGACAATAAATTTTTTTATTTCATTCATCATCAATATTTTTGTGGTACTTTTGCATAGTTAAATTAACATTGTTATTCTAATTTTCTTCTAAATTCTAAGCATTCATTTCAAAGAAACAAACAATCATCACCTATTGTAGGGACAATGTGTAAGAATTTGATATGCTCCTGAAATCTAATTCATATAGTAGTTTAATCATTGTCGAATGTGGTACAATTGAGCTGTAAATTTGATCTCTTTTGAGTTCAAATATTCACATCTTTTAGTTGCAAGTTTTTAAGCCTTTATTATAAGATAGATACCGTAGCTAAGTATCATATAAGGCTGATTAGATTATATTTGTTTGAAGTATAGTATTTGTTTCAAAAATTAAATTGTTTTAAAAATTTATGTTATGGTTGTGCCCTTATGCTTACTAGTGTGCATTATCATGCCAATGTTTAACATACCAAAATGGAATGCATTGAAACAGAGGACGAATAGTCATGAGTGTTATCAACCACAGTGAAATGGATTTCAAGAAAAAGCAATGCCTTATTGATAGGAAACATCATAGGCATATCCTATTTAAAGAGCATGACATTAAAATTTCTACATAATATGCAATTTTAGCTATAATATTTTTTTTTATAGCATGAATGAAGCTGTTTGTAATTAATCATATTAAGTAAAAGCTAGGTTGTTAGCATAGAGAAATGCCTCATGAAATTGTGAGATAAGAAATGCCATGAAAGATAAAAAATATTTGGAGATTGTGAGGTAAGCAATGCCATGAAGAAAAAACAGTATTTATAAAATTGACATGAGACATTTATATGTTATGTGCCTAAAGTATCGGGTAACACAATTTATTGATAGGCTAGTTGAGTGCGACAAGAATAAGAAATTTAAGTTGTATATCTGATAAAAATATATGATACAACTAGAAAATATATGGTGGAAATGATTACATTTGAGATGTTGTGGTTAGCATGTATTAGAAATAAGGTTGTAATAAATAGACTTAGATGCTCAGGATATTTTTACAATTGATGTCAATAGATGCATCATTAAGAGAAGCAAGAGATCAAAGCAGATAGCATGGCTAAAAATTGTGTAATTGATCGTTCAAAATAGAGTTTAGCACCTTAGAAAGCACTTAAGGAGACTTTATAAAGTCTACCCAAAATAGTTTGGATAAGACTAATAATGGTGATGTTAAGCAAAATTGATGTACTAGCATATTCAATTTTAATTCACTCTAACTAACCAATGTAATAGCCCCTACTTAAAACCTTATCTACTGAAAATGCAGCTTTGTACCATTCCTTTGGACACAACAAAAGTCAGGCTTCAGCTCCAAAAGAAAGCGATTACAGTAGATGCAATTGCTGCACCTCAATACAGGGGAATGCTTGGAACTGTTGCCACAATTGCTAGGGAAGAAGGCTTGGCGGCACTTTGGAAAGGCATCATTCCTGGTCTTCATCGTCAATTTCTGTATGGAGGGTTACGGATTGGGTTGTATGAGCCGGTAAGTTGTGATTGCTTCACCTGAGAAACAGAACTCAATAGTTTGCATGTCATCCTTTTGGTGTTCTATTTCATGTCATAATTCAGAAATTTGCATCTTTACCTCTCTATTTTTTTTTGCAGGTCAAATCCTTTTATGTTGGAGATTATTATGTTGGGGATATTTCTCTATCCAAGAAAATACTTGCTGGCCTTACAACAGGTTATTGTACGAAAGAAGAGTAGTTGAAGACTTACATTCTTTTATCTATATGCAAGTTTAATCAATTGTGTTATAGAGAGAAATGATATTCTCTCGAATGATATTTATTTTCATGCAAAATGCTATATTGCAACCTCAACTAGGCGCCATAGCAATTGCGGTAGCAAATCCCACTGACCTTGTGAAAGTTCGGCTTCAAGCTGAGGGAAAGCTTCCAGTTGGAGTATCAAGATGTTATTCAGGAGCATTGAATGCCTATTACACAATAATCAGGCAGGTTGTGCTTTAGAAAGGCTTAATTACACTCATGGTCATGGTACTTAACTGTTCTACGTACTAAAGTCAATCTTCCTTTAAACATAGGAAGGACTGGGGGCTCTTTGGACTGGGCTTGGTCCAAATATTGTACGAAATGCAATCATAAATGCTGCAGAGTTGGCTAGCTATGATCATGTAAAGCAGGCATGTATTTCTACACCACTCCGATTATTATAGTTGCAACTCATTATGATCTGCCATTATGTAGTGAATTACTTCTCTTGATACAATTTTTTTTCTGCAGACTATATTGAAAATTCCCGGATTTTCAGATAATGTGTTTACACATCTTTTAGCTGGGTTGGGGGCTGGCCTTTTTGGAGTTTGTATTGGTTCTCCTGTTGATGTTGTAAGTATTCCTTCACCTTCAATTTCTACACTTCTCATACAAATGTCAACCTTTTGCTTTGTCTAAATTTCTTGCTTATATAAACTGCACAAATACCCAAGTAATATCTCCAATAGAATGATAAAATAGGAAGTACTTGGTAATATTTTGACACATCAGGTGAAATCAAGAATGATGGGTGATTCAACGTACAAAAGCACACTAGATTGCTTCATTAGAACATTGAAAACTGAGGTATGCTTATGCTCTGTCTTCAACTTTCCAGCAACATTGAGCGTCACCTTGTTCTTAATCTAACTGGTTACCAACTTGTTCTCCGTGGGATAACTGTCATTTTCATGCTTGTTCTAAATATTATTTGCACTGAAGCTCATCCAAACCGTGATTGTGAGTGTGTTAGTTGCTGTTTTTTTATTTACCTCCAATTACCATTCTACTAAAGCAGCTAGGCTTATTTGAATCTAAGTAGTTTATGGCTGGCAGCCTTGTAGAAGATTCCTGCTAAATATGTATACTTATGGATGCATTCTACGAGTTGACTCAACTGAACGTGACAACAGTTAAAGTAAAATGTAGTTTTAGGAAGAAACGACTTAGCACATCCTATTTACTTGAAAAGAGTTTTGATTCAGATGAGTCTAGAAGGACTAAACAGCTTTGGAAGGCTCCTCCCTATCACTAGAGCTGCACATGAAGGGAAGACGAAATTTGACGTTCGCAAATAGAGAAAATTCACAATAAATTTAATTTTAAATTCATAAATAATAATAATGAAGTAAAAAAAGAGTAAAAATAAAAAAAAGAAAAAATAAATATATATTTAGATAAAATAAGTAAAAACATAAGGATAACTAATAAATGAATAATAATAAGAATAATATTAAAGTTGAAAAGTGCTATTACTTAAAAAAAGGAGAGAGAGAAAAAGGCAAAGATTATTGAACTCATTTGATAAATCCCCCATATTGAGGAACCATGAAATCGGGAGCACTTTGGCATCCCTAGCACATCCACACGTCTTATACCTGGAAATCATGAATCCATATCCACCATTTGTTTTGCATCTTATATCAAATGACTAAGATAAATTGTTGTATATACTCCATCCATTTCATGGATCAACTTACTAAAGCTTTAGTTGCATCTGGAGGTATTGAAGTGGTTCGTGATCCATTTAATCTGGTATCAGAGTCGTAGTTCAGATCTAAGGAAAAATGATGACTGCATATGAAGTGAAGGTTTCATGGATCGAGAAATTTGATTGCACAGATTTTGGTTATTGGAGAATGAGATAGATGATCACCTCTATGGGAATAAACTTCATTTTCCGTTATTAGCTAAAAGATCGGAAATGATTGATGAGACTAAATGAAATTTGTTGGATCGACAGGTCCTGAGGGTTATTTGATTGACCCTATCGAGATCCGTTGCACATAACATCGTCAAAGAAAGGACTACTGCAGATTTCATGACAACCCTGTTAGGTATGTATGAAAAGTCGTCAGCGAATAACAATGTATATTTGATGAAGAAGTTATTAAATTTGAAGATGACGGAAAGTACGTTTGTTGTATAACACCTGAATGATTTTAATACTATCACAAATCAGTTATCGTCTGCGAAAATTGAATTTAATGATGAGATACATGCACTGATTTTGTTGGCTTCATTGTCAAATAATTATGAACCTATGAGGATGACTGTCAGTAATCCTATAGGTAAATCTAAACTGAAATATAATGAAATTCGTGATTTGATTTTGGCTGAAGAAGTGCGCATGAAAGATTCTAACGAGACCTTAAGTTCGAGTTCAACATTAAATGTTGATTCCAGAGAGAGATCACATGGCAGGAACTCAAACAGAGGGATATTAAAATCAAAACACAAAGATATTAGCAAGATAAGGTCTGGTAAACAAGTAACTTGCTGGAATTGTGACAAAACTGGCCACATAAAGAGGAACTGCTAAAATCTCAAGAAGATGGAGAATAATAGTGCAAATGTGGCAACTGAAGAAGCACGGGATGCACTACTGCTGACAGTTCATAGTTCCGTTGATGACTGAATACTGGATTCAGAAGATTCTTTCCATACAACTTTCCACCGGGAATTGATGCGGAATTATGTTGCGGAGGACTTTAGGAAAGTATATCTGACAGATGGAGAAACTTTGAATGTGGTAGGAATTAGAGATATTAACATTGCACTTCCAAACAAGAACAAGTGAACTCTGCAAAAGGTCAAACACATTCCAGAACTGAAGAAAATTCTCATTTATGTTGGGCAGCTTGATGAGTGTGGACATTCAGTAGTATTCTCAGATATCACCTGAAAAGTTACTAAAGAAGCACTGATACTAGCTCGGGGTAAGAAAACATGTATGCTGTGTATATGACTAATGATTTAATTAACAGTGTTGATGCTACTGTTACAGAAAACACAGCAGAGTTGTGACATTGCAGACTTGGCCACATGAGTCGGAGGGGTATGAAGGAACTTCAGTTCAAAGGTAAGCTACCAGAACTGAAGTCAGTTGATCTCAGCATGTGTGAGAGTTGTATTATGGGAAAATAGAGAAATGTCAGTTTCTTTAAAAGTGACGGGACACCAAAGGTAGAAAAGTTGGATCTTGTACACAGATATGTGAGGACCTTCTCCAGTGACATCTATTGAAGGCTCTCGTTATTACGTCACATTCATTGATGATCATAACAGAAAAGTGTGAGTTTATTTCTTGAAGCATAAATTTGATGTATTTAATGTGTCGGGGTTTGGAAGGTCGTCGTCGAGACAGAGACTGACTTAAAGCTGAAATGTCTGAGGTCTGATAATGGTGGTGAGTACATTGATGGTGGGTTCAACGAGTATTGTGCAGCTCAGAACATCAACCATTCCAGGGACACCACAACAAAATGGTGTTGCAGAGCGCATGAACATGACCATTAGTGAGAGGGCAGAAAACATGAGATTGCACGCCAGACTACCACCTACTTTCTGGGCAGAAGGGATCAACACTCCAGTTTACTTGATCAACAGAGGGTCATTTGTTCCATTAAACTGTGAATTACCTGAGGAGGTCTGAAGTGGAAAAGATGTCAAAGTGGAAAAGATGTCAAATTTTTTTTCTCACCTTAAAATCTTTGGATGTCTTTCTTATGTTCTAATTAATCCTGATGCTCGTAGTAAGTTTGAGGTTAAGTCAAAGAAGTGTTATTTTATTAGCTACAGAAAAAAACATTTGGATATCGTTTCTGAGATGATCATGATCGAAAGATCATAAGGAGCAGGAATATGATTTTCAATGAGAAAATTATGTACAGGAACAAAGCCAGTAGAATTTCTTAAACAACATCGCAAGAATCTCAATTGGTAAGGTTTGATGATTTACCGGAGGTCACGGTGTAAGACAAAGATGCAGGTGACGAGGAGAGTGGGTCTCAGACATCCATTCCTATTGTTCCACTGTCAGTTTCATAGCAGTTCACCCATACAGTTGCAGTTCGCAGGTTAGAAAGGACTCGACTCTCCACAGTGTTATTCTCCAACTTTAAACTACATTCTGCTGACATATGGTGGAGAACCTCAGAGTTATGAAGAAATCTTCAAAGATGAAAATTCGAGCAAGTGGGAGCTTGACATGAAGGAGAAGATTGATTCTCTGCTAAAAAATTAGACATGGGAGTTGACAGAACTTCCATCTAAGAAGAAGATATTACACAACAAGTGGGTGTACCGGGTGAAGGCTGAGCATGATGACAGTAAGAGACAGTAAGAGGTACAAGGCTAGAGGTACAAGGCTAGACTTGTTGTAAAAGGTTTTCAGCAGAAACATGGTATTGATTATTCTGAGATTTTCTCTCTTGTGGTGAAGCTTACAACCATAAGAATGGTATTATCTATGGTGACTACTGAAGATCTCTTCCTTGAGCAGTTAGATGTGAAGACAACCTTTCTTCATGTGGATCTTGAAGAAGACCTCTACATGCACCAACCTGAAGGGTTCGTGGAACAGGGAAAGGAAGATTCAGTTTGTAGACTGAAGAACTTGTATGACCTGAAATAAGCTCCCAGACAGTGGTACAAGCAATTTGATAATTTCATGTACAGTGCATGGTACAACAGATGTCAGACAGATCACTGTTGCTATGTCAGATATTTTAACAATTTCTATATCAACCTACTGTTGTATGTGGATTATATGCTTATTGCATGAGCTAGTATTAATGAGATTAAAAATTTGAAGCAGCAAATGTCAGAGCACTTTGCAATGAAGAATTTGAGAGCAACAAAACAAATTCTTGGCATGAGAATTGTCAGAGATAAAGTCAGAGACACGTTGAGACCCTCTCAGGCTGAGTATGTGAAAAAAGATACTTAGAAGATTCAATATTGATAAGGCTAAACCAGCTGACACACCCTTGGGCAGTCACTTCAGATTCAACAAGAAGCAATCACCCACGTCAAAGGAGGAACTATACCATATGAGTAAGGTTCGTTATGCTTCAGTTATTGTTTCACTTATGTATGTCATGGTTTGCACTAGACCAGATATTGTCCATGCAATGGGAGTTGGTAGCAGATACATGAGTAATCTTGGAAAGGAACATTGAGAAGTTGTGAAGTGGATCTTGAGGTACGTAAGAGGCTCTTCAGAAACTTTCTTGTGTTTCTCAGAAAATAGTTTAGAGGTACAGGGCTATGTTGATGCTGATCTAACTGGAGACATTGATACCAAAATAAGTACTACGGGCTATATTAATACTCTTGGTGGCACTACAGTATTATGGGGCTTTAATCTGCAGAAGACGTTTTCGTTGTCTAATACAAAAGTTGAGTATATAGCAGTGTCAGAGGCTGCAAAGGAGATGATACGACTTCAGACTTCTTGGAAGAATTGGGTAAGAAGGATCAGAAGGGCATTCTCTATTGTGATAATCAGAGCACCATATTTCTTGTCAGGAATCCAGCATTTCAGTTCAAGACCAAGCACATTCAGATCAGGTATCACTTCATATGGTCATTGTTGAATGACAGACAGTTGTTGCTTGAGAAAATTTGTGGAAGCAAAAACCTTGCTGATATGTTGACAAAGGGTGTTACTCTTGAAAAACTGAAGTTGTGTGTAGCTTCAGTTGGTCTTCTAGCTTGAAGACGAGGGCTTTGAGTTGCAGAGGTTGAGGATATCAGTTTAAGAAGGAAGAACATTGTAGCCTGTATACTAGTTTTCAAGTGAGAAATTTGTTATTTGTGAAGACATGTCCACATCAGAAAAAAAAGGCAAATAAAACTGTTCCCGCTTCTTTCCTCAAAACCCTCATCTCCTGAGTTTTGTGAAGAGCCTCTCCCGCCTCTCCTGTGTTTCGCAAACCGCCATCCCACCTGAGATTCGTGAAACATTGTGGAGCTCGCCTCCTTTCATTCGCGAACAAGAACTTCCCTTTTCACGATAAAAGGACCCCGCACCCTCTTTTTTACTTACTGTAGTAACCAACTAGAGAGAGAAGGAGAAGGAGAAGAGAGAAAGATCCTTGTGTTGTTTTCGACGTGAAGCATACTGGAAGAAGGAAATACATCGACTTTATAATTCCTTGAAGTTGAGATAAATGTTTCTTGTAAATCGAAGCATTTTTGTACAAAATCCTCAAGTAATTAAATCTTCTGTAACTCCGTGAACATAAACAATTTGCCGAATCAAGTAAATTTGTGTATTCTTTTCTGGTGTGAATTTTCTCGTTCTATTTTTTTCGCTTTGTCGTCGATTTTTTTATTTTATATATATACTACAACAAAACAATCGGTCTAAGTGGGACTATAAGCTAGGTCTTATCGTAAACCCTAAACCCTAAGCTTATGATAATAATTTTGTTGCTGTTGATGTCATGACTTCATTAAACTTCATTAGTTTATGGACTTGTTTAGGGTTTATGCACTTTCATATTTTGGAGTTTAGTTAAATTTTATGCACTTTCATATTTAAAAATGATTCTTTGTTAGTTGATATGGCGTTGCTACAATCAATGAAAAATGAAAGAACTGATGATATTTTTCATATCAGGGACCTTTAGCTTTCTACAAGGGGTTCTTTCCAAATTTTGGTCGGCTTGGCTCGTGGAATGTTATAATGTTTTTGACATTGGAGCAGGTGATAATGTTTTCAATCTTGATTGTTATACAACATTTCTTTCCTATTTTGACCTTTTTTTAGAATATTAGCCAATCTTAAACTGTTGTTTTCACGCTTAATCAATGAAGTTGATCTGTCCTGTTATTAGGCATTTTGACTTTTATGTCTTCTTGCACACATGCAACTCAAAATCCTATACACTGAATAGCTACTTTTTGTTGGCATTTATGAAATAAATAAAAGAAAATATTTACATATAATTTCACCTATCATTTATTGGCAGGTTAAAAAGTTCTTTACAAGATAAATATCAACCCGATGAAAACATTTTATTCTCATAGAATGAATAAAGTTGGTGCAGCAAAGTACGGGAACACTCATACAGCTCAAGCAAAATACAGTATCATATTTATCACATTGTTTAGTATGTAAGGCATATATGGATGATGTGTTGTACTAGTACTAAAAAAACTACATGTTACTAGTTATCCTGTGAAACACAATTTGTTATCCGATAATCAAAGTGAAATTGGTATGTTGCAAATAGAAGGATTCTTTATGTAGAACAAAACGTGTAAAATGTTGAATACATACCTCCCCATTAAACTAAATAGTAGCTACTCAACATCATTCGTTTCATTAAAGTTTTGTGCTTCAATAGTAGAAAACTATTATTAATTGAAGATCTAATTGTAAATTGGAATGTTAAGACATTATTAAATTTAATAGGCTTTTAAGGGACTTGCCTAGTTTGAAGTTAATGTTTATTTCTATACACATGAAATGAAGTGATGGAATCTAGTAAATTACTCATTTCCAAAGCAAAATTTTACTTGTTCATCCCACAAAATATTAAGTGTAGATTTAATTCTGATAATTTGATTGAGGACCTCAAAATTTTGTACTGTCAAATTGTACAATTATCCTATTATAGCTTGATTATTTCATGAATTTAGCCTAAATTTAGCTATGTAGTTTGGATTATCGGCAATATTAATATCATACCCAATTATATGGTTACAATGATCGAAATTAAATATCCAATAATACTTGTCTAACATTGATCTGTCAATTCAATATATATGATTTTCTGATATTGATCTTGACCTTGTTTTAAAATTGCACGCTATATGGAACACCTTAAAGCTTTTTACAAAAAACTGCAATTAGGCTTATGCCTCGTTCTCCTTGGGTGAGTTATATGCCTCAACCATGCTGAGACGCCTCAAGGCCTGCCTAGCCTGGAAAAAAAAACACCTCAATCTTTTGAGGATATATGTAATTTTGCTTTTAACAAAACTAAAATTAATATTAATATACCTTACTTATTACCCTCAAATCTCATTACTAAATAACAAGAAATAAAAGGAAAATGTATCCATAAAATTTTTTTTAGTTGAAGTTCTAACTATCAACATACTTATTATTTAAAGTAATATTTTTCTTGATGATTATCCAGTAAAGTAGAAGATAATTAGGATTAAAAAGGCGAGGAATTGGAGAATATAGATAAGACTAAATCTGAGACGCGAGATACACAATTCATTATGCCAACAACTTCAATGAAAATCAATTGGGTGATAAAAATAAGTGAAACCTTTAAATTTAAAATTAAATATTGATTAATTGTTATATTCTTATTTATGTGGGGGATGATGAGTTAGAGAGAAAGATCTAGGTTAAATTTTTTTTTATTGTTATATTTTGATGTTTTATTATTTTATTTTAATATCTTAGCCTATTTTAATAGTTAAAAGTTTGTATAACCCGCATCATAATTCATAATTTAATTAAATAATATTATCATGTTATTTTTAATTTTACGGCTTATTGAATAAAAAATGATTTTAGTCTATTAAAATTAAATGAAAATATGATACTTAATAGGACGCAATGAAGATATGATACTTAATAGGACGCAACTTAATAGGACGCAATGAAGAAAAATGATTCATGTAGCTGCCTCCACTTAGTGGGAAAAGGCATGTTGTTTTTGTTGTTGTATTTTTAATTTTATGCAATCTATTAACTTTTATTTAATTAGAATGTTATCATATTAATTTTTAGTGTGTTAATAAGTTAGATATTAATATGTTATTTTGTACTTCACTTCAATACTTATTAATTTACACAATTTTTAAATTTGAGGCTTAGGCCTCAAAATGTCTTGAGGCGTACGCTTTACATATAGAACAAAAAAGCCTCCGTACTCATTGCCTTTGTACTCGATTACAAAATTTTAAACTTTGATATTGAAAATAATGCAATATAATTTTTCACCCTCGAATTTAACATCATATATTCAAAATGCTCTCAATTAAGAAGTATTTTAGTTTAACCTAAACATCAAAATTGAGGGGATCTTCACTTCATTTCTTTCAGTGAAAGGCTCTATTTAGGCATCTAAATGTTTAAGTTACAGTCCAATTCTATCTTGAGAAATAATGATTGTTGTTTTATAATGAGAACATGTCTTGCATGTAAAATTTTTTTATTTTTATTTAAGTAAATAAAACTTCTAGTGAAATTTTGTGATGAGTAACTGTTGATACAAGCTTTCTTCCATGCAAAAGCGTGAGATGAAGGGCGCAGGCAAAGTGAAATTCAGAATTCAGATTAGATGAACTAGTTTACTTAAATCATTTAAATGCTACTTATGACTTGCTAAGAAATGAAAGGGAGGCTGGTATTGGTAAAGAAATACGCCAGTAGGCCAAATTGCCATATTCACAAGCATTCTGAAGGCATCATGGACTGTTAGCTCATAAAGTTACCTCATGAATTTAAAGGCGATTCATCAAACTCATCAGCAACTTGCCCAAAGTACTCGCTAAGCTGCACCAGAGGTCCAAGGAAATCTTCCAAACCAGTCATAAAGCAAATAGGAGTCATAAATTATGATGTACAGAGATACGATTAACTGGGAAACCAAAATCTAAAGTTTATTGCTGGCTGCATATTTCATACATAGAAAACAGGAATTGCCTATAGTGGAAAAAATCAACACAGTAATCATACAGAAATGAAAAAAAAAAAGACAAACAAAGTTGCTCCTCGGATCTTCCCTCAGCTCATGAACTTTCTCTGCCACCTGGCAACAAGACAGCAAAACAAATGACCTTAAAATGAAGAAGGCCTTCCTCTAGCAGATCCAAAGATCGACGAAATCAAATAACAGAGACGTTGTGTTAACATATAGAGCACATACAATGCTTTCTGCTGCATTATCTCAAAAGTATGAACCAACTCCCTCTCCTCCAAGCCTTAATATTTTCTAAGAATTTTCTTTCGACCCTAATATTTTCGGCCCAGTTGCAAAGTTAAATAACGGGCAAGTAGAAAAAGATAATTGTCAGATAAACTCATAAGGAGTGCAGGTCATTTAATTAAAGAAGCAGGCCGTATTGTAAAAGAAGTTAATGGCGTTTGTATAAAGAGACCAAGACAACACTTTTGAGATAAAATTTACTCGTCTTGCAGGTCTTTAAAAATGGTTTGTTACCATGATTGAATGTCCTGAAGTACGATAGACCATTTTACCGGCGATTTTTATTAATTAGGGGACAAGTGTACCGGGAAAAATATATCAATTAGAATTTGTTTTCGATTAGCTTGCAAAAAAAATGCAAAATGGAATTCAGTCAACAACCAGTGAGAGAGTACAAGAAGGCCATACTAACCTGCTGCCTCCAGCACTGCCTCTTCACCATCTTCATCTTCTTCCTCATCATCCACTTTTTCTAAGCCCTCTCCATACGTGGAATTCAAGTAATCTACAGCCGATCTGGTTAGCACAAGTTTAGCTGAGTCGAGTATGTCGAAGAGATTGAGCGTCCTCGGCGTGAGCATCTTCAAGGTACCAATGTTGCGGCAGGACAATCTCACATTATCCGGCACCTCTGTCATCATAAACAAGGACTTCTCCTTAGGATCAAGTCCCCATCGCCTCATCGCTGCTATAAAATCCTTAGTCTTAGGCCCTGCATCAAACAGATCTGCAAAATCCTCAACGACAAGGGCGTCGGAGGAGGAGGCAGCGCTCGCTATGGCCGTAGAAAGTGCGAGGCGGCGCTCTTTGCGGTTGATTTTGATGGACCAGTCCTTCGGTTTGGGGCCAAAGATGACGCCGCCTCCGGGACGAAGCGGAGTGCGCTGTGAGCCGCGGCGAGCGCGGCCGGTCTTTTTTTGGGGATAGGGGTTCTTACCTAGGTTTTCTTCCCCCCGCCGCTGACTTCACCGCGGGTGAGGGTGGAGGCGGTTCCGCGGCGCTGGTTTTGTTGCTCGGCAATGATGGCACGGTGGACAACGGCTCGGGCAGTGTCGGGAGGGGCGGATTTAAGATCGAGGAGAGCTTCGCCGATCCTTTCTCCGGAGAAAGATAGAATGGGGAGGGAGGAGGTCGAGGCGCGGATGAGGGTTAATGTTTTGAAGGAGGAGAGGAGATTGGTGGTGCGAGGTGAGGGCTTGACAGTCTCGTAGGCTAGAAGAGACTTTGGGATGGGTAGGAAAATGGAGGAGGCGGAGAAGGAAAGGGAAGGGGACATTTCTAACAAGTGTAGATAAGATTGGCCTTCAAGAGGGAATTCATTCAAAAGAAGGATTCTTAGGGAGAACGCGACAACTGCTTGCGGAGATGGTTTTTTTTTTTTTTTTTTTTTTAAATTGGGAAAAGGGGAAGCCCAAAAGGTGAAGCCCATAACACAATTTTATTAAGAAAATAAAATTAAAACATTAAAACAATTATGCCAGAACAATTCTAAAAAAGTTAGGGTTAATTATTATTATAAATATAAAATTTTTTAATTTGATATATTTTATGATCTATAGGTAAACACATATGGACCTTAAATTCTAAATATTGTGTATATAGTTATAATGACCTAAGTGTGATAAAACTAAAATGCTTTTATAGTGAAAATTAATATTCATCACCTCTAATTCATATATAGAAATTTAAGTTAAAATTTAATATTATAAATTAAAAATTAAACATTTTAATATAATAATTATAATTAATTAATAAATACTTAAAATAATTATATTAAATATTAAATTATTAAATTAAATAATTATAATAAAATGAATTATAAATGTTTTAAAATATATTTTAATATTAAAAAATATTAATTAATTTTTAAATGTATAAATATTCTTTATATATTAAACAATTAAGATAATAATTATAACTAATTTAAATATTTTATGTAATAATTATTTAATATATCGATAATATTAATATATTTAAAAATTATTTAATATTATTTATATATTAAACAATTATTATATA